AACAAACCTGGTACCCAATGCTGGCTGCTGCATGTAGGAAACTGGGAAGCAAGGTCAAGGTGTCCAGAGCCCCGGGCTCGGGGCCAGAACCTGCTACAGAGCAAAATAAAAACGTGGGATTAAGGATTTTAAGACGGTGGTAACAGAGCACGCAGCCACGCCTGGGCTCCTGTGAGTGCAGGGCCTTCCTGAGTGTGGCTGCGTGAGTGTGGGCCCCGGCGGAGCAGCAAGCCGGCCCCTCTCATCACCCGCGTTCGTGCCATGTGCCCAGGCCCGGGAGCACCCGCGGGCAGCTCCACTGAAGGACCATGACGGCTCTCCTTCTGCCACGATTTTCCCCCCATTACTGATGTGACATGCTAGTTGTAGAGCATTTGAATCCTCACGAAAGAAGGAAAAAGGCTTTCCGTCACTTGTGGGACCACCCCCAGAAAGAGCGGTGAGAGCTCTTCACCTGGCTTCTACGAGAAACACGTGAAACAAATGAGCATCTCCGCATCTCATTATACGTATCATTTTATCTTCTGCTTGTTTCACTACTGGTCCCTTAAGTCAGAGGATACCGTTCTACGCGTTGATTTTTAATGACTATTTAATATTCCACTGGATGGATTTCCTTAACCCTTTACTATTGGACGCAGGTTATTTCCAACCATTTCCAATTCTCCCTATTACAAACAACTCTTCGAGGAACGTCTGTGTGCACATTTGCACATTCCAGCTTCTTTCCTAAGGGACCGAAGGCTGTTAGGGAGACATTTGGGTTCCAGAAGCTTCTTAGGGTCGTTCTGAATTCCACCTCCACTTGTCCTATTGTGAAAAAGACACATTAATGATCGTGAAGCAGATAATGGTTCCTCATCCTACCAAACTACGGACAGGGCTTGGGGGGTCTGGCTGCCTCGACCACCGAGCCTGTCGGGCTGGGGATGGAAGGGGATAATGCTTAGCATGGTGCCGCTCACAGGCAACACTCCACAGGGGTGGCAAGGAGAAGCAGGAGGAGGAGGGAGGGATGACGTTAGCGCCCCCTTGGGAGAGGAGGGCTCTGCAGGGCATCCAGCCACCTGGCCAAAGGCTCCTAAGGGCTGCTGACCCCAGCTCAGCGCCTCCCACCGCAGACGAGCAGCGAGTGTGGGGTGAACACATCATAGGCCGTGTCCCACCACCTCCTTCAGAGGCATCCGGGCTGTCTGGGAGAAAGGGAGGTGGGGTGCCCGCCCTGTCACTGCCGTAGCAAGGTCACGGAGTTAGTGGCTCGGACAGTGCAAGTGTTTTATCGTACAGTCGTGGACGTTGGAAGTCTGAAATGTCACAGGGCTAAAGTCAAAGTGTGGGCAGGGCCAGCTCCTTCTGGAGGCTCCGGGGGAGAATCCATTTCCTGGCCTCTTCCAGCTTCCAGAGGCTCCCAATTCATCTGCTCACGGCCCCTTCCTCCATCTTCCAAGAGAGGCCTTGTGTCTCTCTCTGACCATAGCCGAGAAAGGTTCTCCACGGCTAAGGCTTCGTGTGATTAGATTGGACCCACCTGGATACACCCAGGATGCTCTCCCAGCTCCAGGCCCTTAACTTCATCCACCTGCAAAGTCCTGAGGAACTTCCTGCCAGAGGCCCCACCCGCCCCGCGCCTTGCCCACCGTCAGGGCAGAGGTTCTAGGAACTCAGGCTGGTTCTCTGCTCAGCCGGGAGCTGCCCCACCTCACCTGAACCCCACGGGCAGGGATTATCTCCATTTTGCAGGTGGGCAAACTGAGGCTCAGGAAGGCCAGATGATTTGCTCAAGCAGGGATAACACAGCTGGCGAGGGCAGGGCCAAGGCTTGGTGATGGCCGGACCCTAAAGCCAGGGCTCCACGAGGCCCATCCCTGCCCCTAGAAACACCGGCTCTCCCACCCTCCCTTGGCCACAGCCCCTGATTCTTTCCAGAAGGGTGGCAAGCCTTCCTGCCTTGTTCCCAGAACAGGCCAGGTGCCCTTGGGGACAGAAGAACCACGGGGCAGACCTTGGTGGCACCTCGTGTGAGTGTGAGGGGGTCTGTGGTGGGCCGGGCGGGCCTGCAGGGGCGAGTGGTGGCCGTGAGGAGCAGGGCCTCATTGCAGCTTGCCATGTTGTGGAGGGTGTGAGTGTGTGTGTGTGTGTGGGGGGGATGTACAAGGGACGAGTCTGTCCTAGCCAGAATGGCAGTGGCTCTTGTTGGTCCAGCCTATCCACTGGGCGGCTTTGGGGTGTCTCCCCCAGCCCCCCAAGCACAGCACACTGGCCTGGGCAGTGCTGAGCTGTTCTGAATAAGAAAACAAGGAAGAGAGGATGTTCCTGGGGCAGCATTTGGAACTGGGGTGGCACTTGACGCACGAAGGCGGGCAAGGCTGCGCACCCCAAGGCTGAGCTCAGCTGAGGACACGGTTAGGGCTCCCTTGGCGCGGCCTGCTGCAGCCCCAC